ATGCCATTCTCTTCATTATTTAAATATGATTGACTCATTTACCAAAGCTCTACTGCAAATGCTATTTGCCCCCTCCTTAGGCAAACAAATAAAATGAAATAACATAATTAAGTGCAAATATGGGCAAGAGGTGTGGTTTCCATGGCATCACAGCCCTGCTGTTTGAGAGACTGCACCCAGAACAGGGCAGCCATATGCCACCAGTCTGCTCGTCCATTCTGAGATCAGAATGGAGTTCTGAGATCTCTCCCAGACAGTCTGCTTGCTGATTATGACAGCTGATTCCTGTCCCTATAGAGATGAAAGCCCCATATTGAGGAGGATGCTGTTTCTATACTCTCCCATGGCTCCACCTGACTGACACAGTTATTCTGTGCTAAAAGCTCATGGGGATGTCTAAGGTCTTAGGGTCTGGATGTCAGGGCTGTAGTTCTATCTTAGCTGTTTTCTCCAGTGGCACAAAGTGAAATATGTCTCCTTAAGATCTTAACATGAGAAGTTTCTAGGTAGAAGAAATTAGTCAATTCATTTTCCTACTTTGGATCATTTTCCTATTCTCTTCTGTATGAAATGATGTACAATAGAAATAAATATAAAAAAATGATAGGGACACTTGGGTGACTCAGTTAAGCGTCAGACTTTGGTTCAGGTCATGATCTCATGGTTTGTGAGTTCAAGCCCCACATTGAGCTCCATGCTGGTGGTGCAGAGCCTGCTTGGGATTCTCTCTCTCTCCTTCTCCCTCTCTGCCCCTCCCCCACGTGTGCGCACGTGCGTTCTCTCTTTCTTTCTCAAAGTGATAGATTTCTCAGGATCACATACAAATTCAAGACATTTCTATTATATCTAAATTCTGAATTATAGCCATGTGGTTCTTGGGAATTCTAATAATTTATATATTTGAATATCTTCATTAAGTGTGAACACTTGAATTCTCATCATAAACTTTCATTTTATATATATTGCATGTCACAATAGTGGTTTAGACCCCATTAAAATTGTAAATCATGGACATCTGCATTCAAGGAAGTCCTTAATCAAAGAAATAAAATCATTTATTTTTCAAATACAAATGCTAATGTATTATTTTAATTGCTATTGTTTCCTTGAAACTTATATTCTAGATATTATTTTTAGTTACAGGTATTTCATAATTTCTCATTAATATGAAAGCATATACATGTCATGGACAAACCAGAGTATCTCTTTGTATATAGCACAAAGTTAGGTAAGGTGATGAGAAAATATACACTATCCTGGATATGTGGTATACGTTCTAGAAAGACCATAGTTTTACTGATATTCTCAGTCAAGAATGTCAAGGGAGGCAGTTTATATAATGATTAAAACAAGGGCTTTGAATTCAGATATTATTTTATGACTTACTAGCTGTGTGACCTTGCCCATTGTCCCTGTTTTCTGTAGTATATCTCCACTGAGACAGAAAGGTCAATTAATGTCTCAAATTAGATGTGAATCATAGCCCCGAGGTAGAAGGCACCATCTGGAGTCAAACATCACTTTCTCTGGCCTTCCTCTCCCCAACTGAAAGTCTCCAATAAAACTTTTGATTCTTTCCTGACCTTGTTATTTTCTTTCCTTATTTGTGATCTTGGAGTCATCTTTGACTCCTTTGTCCATTGCCCTCCACAGCTTTTTGCTGAAACTTTTTGGTTGGCCACCATGTTATGTGCCTCACTAAAAACAAAAACGTTCATCTATTTCTTAGTACTAGACTCTGGTTACACCAAACACAACTTGGCTCTGAAAATATCTCAGAGGCAGGTATCTTATCCCTCAAAATTCTCTACAGATCTTAACATAGATTGCTTCTCAGAGTGTATGATCAGTAAGTGCTCAAATGGTAGTTACAGGTGATGTTCATTTTTTCACTGTAGGTTAGTGTATATTTAATCTCCATTGCGGAGATTCATTAATTTGGAAAACTTAAAAAAAATCAAATACTTAAAACACATCAATACTACTCATTTTCTTTGGCATTTGTTGCTGTTTGAGTAAAAGTTCTGTGGACATATAGGAGTTGAAAAATAGCTCTAAAAACCACAAAAAGGTCACTAATGTTGACAACTCTGAATCCCTCTGAAAAATAAGCACCTGCTCTTCTTATTTACTATAATAACAAATACCTGGTCTTTGTACAGGTCAAACAGGTTTTTCATATTTTGCAAAAGGCAATTATTTGATATAAAGACTGTAGCTGTCTTTGGGCATCAGTAATAAGATCTTAATCAAATATTGGGGGCTTCTGATATTATGAAAATACCTTAGCCAAATATTAATGGAGAAAGTTCAGGCAGTGTGAAAGTTGTCAATGTGGTATACAACTACATATTGGAGCTATGTTTTCATTTGCAATGAGAATAAGGAACAAGTCTAAGATGACACCCAGATTGCTAGTCAACTACTTTATATGCTTAATTATGGCTTGCTTTAAAATTATGTTTTGGTCAGCCACTGAGGTTAAGAGCTGGTTAATCCTAATAAAATTTTAATAAAATAGAAAGCAAATGATGCACCTTAGCTGTTCATATGCCTGCTGTGTATATTAAGCTGTGGTCATTTTGTTAGCAGGAATTTTTTTTCAGTTGGCATTCTCAATGCCTACCCCAGTATTTGGCCAATATTAGGTGCTAAATAATGAATAAATGAGTGTCAGATTTAGAGCACCCTAAACACAGATACGCTTTGGGGAGCTATAAAGGAAATAAATTATTATCTACTTCCCAAATGACACATAACTCAGGTAAAAATTCTAGAGCTGCATTGTCCAATATGGTAGCCACCAGATACACGTGGCTATTTAATTTATTTATAATTTCAAATAAAATTTAAATATTTAATAAATAACATAAATTCAGTCCCTCAGTTGCAAAGCTAAATTTAAATGCTCAAAAGCCACTGAAACCTGCTTCTGATTCTGTGTCTCCCTCTCTCCCTGCCACTGTCCCACTCATGCCCTCTCTTTCCTTCTCTCAAAAATAAAACTAAACATTAAAAAAAATTAAATGCTCAAAAACCAAATGAAGGTAGTGGTTACCATACTGGCTAGTGCAGATCAAATATTTCCTTCACTGCAAAAATTTCTATTGGATAACACTTTTCTAGACAGTGTGGTATTTTCTTCACATAAAAAAATAAAACTTCACCATGACAGTTATACAAATTCCAATATATTCAGGTGATTTCACAAATATGAATACATTCAACTTTAAGGAATCATGGAGGGATTCTATCCACTATGTATTTCTTTATCAATTTGTAGTTTGTTATAGTCTTAGAATTCTTGGTGGCTTTTTAATAAGCTCAAAAGACTATGGGGGAAAAAGAAACACCTTAAACACATAATTGCCACACTTGTGCTTGTTTAATATTCAGATTCCTAGATCCTACCTTCAAGGTCCTGACCCAATAGGTCTGAGGTGTCTTAATGAAAATACATCATTAGACCTCCCCAGGTGATTTTGATGCACATGGCCCAATAGCTACATACTAAAACATTTAGCCTAAGAATTATAAGGATTATATTCTTGCTTCATTTATTCAACAAAATGTATTAACTCTTTCTATATCATGGGCCCTAATCTAGACACAAGGGCTGTAAAGACAGAGAAAGAGAAGATATCAATTGAGAAAGTATTGTTTGGTGTTACCTTTTGCTCACTTGTTCCTACACCACTAATAGGCACCCTAGCCACCCATCCCTGCCCAAGCCTGCTGTCAGGTGTTCCCCACGTGGATACTGACTTGTCTTTATGTGAAAAGCTGAGTCCAGGAAGGACTTGATAGTAGCAGTAGAAGTAGTAGAGGAAGAAGCAAAAGGAGAAAAAGGTGGGGGATGAGGACAAGATGGAAGAGGGGGATGAGGAGGAGGAAAGGGAGAGGGAAAAGGAGAGGGAGAGGAGAAGAAATTCAGGAAAGAAGGAGAAGGAATAAGGAGAGAATAAAATGGGTTTAAGAGGTAGGAAGGAAGGAGAATGGACAAACGTGGTGATGGGATGCTGGGCACAGCAATAAGCAAGAGAAAGGGGTCTGGAGTGGCATTTAGCTTTCTGGTTTAGGTTGGTAGACAACAGGGCCATTCACTTAAACAGGGAATACAGAAATAATAGTTATTTGGGGGAAAGAAGATGGTTCAGTTTTGGTATGTTGGACTTATACCCTGCCTCTGGTATTTCAAATTGGAGATAATCAGAAGGTAACTGAGTATACAGTTTTAGAGCTTTAAAGATATAGATTTTGGATGTACCAGTGTTATATGAAACCATGGGAGTGAAGGAAATCATATAGGAAAATAAAATTATATTACAGAGAAGAGAAGGCTTAAAAGGATGGGAATTTGACAAGCATACATTTTTGGGCAGTGATATTTAACTTTTTGTGGATCAATAAGCTTTCTGAAAAATCAGATTTTTCTGAAGAATTTAGAATTAATTTCTAAAGAATGTCAAATTTCACAGACCTACAAAATTTGTAGTTTCCAAGGTGTTGAGACCCTTGTTGAGAACTTCCACAGATTGCAGGTGTTTAAGTGATAAAAGAGGAAGGGAGGCCCATGAAAGACAATGAGAAGAGGAGTCAAATTAGATAGTAGGAAAACCAGATTTCCAACTCACTGAGATTTATTCACCTGAGCTAATGCAATAGCAGATATAAACCCAGTTTAAATGAGGAAACTGCTTCTCTTATGTTCCTGTTTGTAAAATCAAGAGCATAAATGCATATTTAGAGTCATTTATTGAATTCCCTTTTTCTTCATAGTCCTTGAGAGTTAACAATTGAATTCCCCCTCCATTATGTTTTGGGTTTTCTTTCTTTGACTCATAGAAGCATGGATTAGTTTACTCAGGAAAGAGAGTTTCTTAGCGTTTATCAACAATCCACAATGGCTTTCTCTTCCACACAGGTATAAAATTGGACTATTAGAAGGCCAGCATGCATTTGTGTTTCCTTGGGATCCTTGCCTTTTATGTCACACTTACCTACAGAAGTGATGATGACTGTGAAATGAGCTTCATCTCGCCGTCCAGTTACATTGTTGTAAGCACAGCACACATAATCAGTTGGCTTTTGGGCTACTTTCTCAGATGTAACTTCCAAGCGAGGTCCATGCTTGATGACATATGTTGTATTGTCAGTCCTCCGGATCCAGGAGTAGGTGTTGGGGGGGTAAGAATCAGCAGAACAGTAAAACAAGATGGCTTCTCCAGTGTCAACAGTAAACACTTCCCCTACTTTTAGCCCTTTGTCAGAATTAACTTGAAGTCCATAAGGTCCATCTGCATTAATTGAAAAAGGAAATAAAGGGGTGGCATAAATAATCACAATATAGTTATAGAATTTTGGAGAGCTTAGCATTTTACTTTCTATGAAAGTCTTCATGTTCAACTTGGCAGATAGATCCTCATTTAGATTCCCAATAAATCATGAGGACCTAAAAATGTGTTATTCTGATATCCACAACAATGGAAATTATTTGAGGTGTGATTGAATTTATCTGATATAGTGAAAGGCTTGAAACTTAGTGTGTAATTTCAGAGACACTGCCATCATAACTGTCATGCTAAGTTTTGAGTAAAGTATTGATACGTCTGCAATCATGTTAGATAAGTTCCATCTTTCTTAAAACAGAGTTGCACTTGAAAGCACTTTAAAAAATAGATTATGGCCATTATTTTCTCATTGACAGCCATATTTTGAGTATTATCTGTTTTTATTCTCAGTTCTAGGGTAAGCCATGCAAATATTTATAAAATACATAGTTTCACATGGAGCACAAATTTGTGCAAATAGATACAGAAGTGTCCCATTAGCAGTTAAAGAATTTTAAATATTCCTCCCTGCAAACTAAGCTTAGAATTCTATTTGGAAAAATAATCTCTTCATTATTATTAACAAATATTCATTGAGCATCATTGACAAATATTTAGTCATGGATATCCCATGGTGTTTGTCCTTACTGCAATATTCTTGTAGCATTTTGCTATTTCTATGGCACCAGAATGGCTGCAGATAAAGACACATTTCCCATTGCTTTCTTTCAAAAATAAAGACAGATTTAAAAATTTTCCCAGCTAGATAAGTTTTTCTTGTTCAGTCTAAATCCTGGCTTCTATTCTAAAAACTTCAAGGTTTAGGTATGATTATGTTCATTTTTCAGCTGGTCATAACCAATATTTATTGGCTACTTTCCATATAAAGGCACTTTAAGTACTTACACAGACTACCACATTTAATCTTTAAAGCGACCACATGAGGTAGATGTTATTCCCATTATAAGATGAAGGAAGAAACATTTAAAAAATTAATTTTCCCATGGTCACATAGCTATTATATAGCAGAGCTAGGATTCTATAATATATGTATTTGATCATTCACATTACCTCCCCAAAAATGTATGTGGCATAATTTTCTGTAACAGAACAATTTCTTATTGTATAACTATATTATTAGTTCTATAATAAGTAATTATCTAATTACATATTAATTCTGTACCCATTTAATCAAGTAATAAATCAAAAAGTCCTGTTTGAGAGATATTGTTAGATGGTATATTTAATATATGAGAGAAAAAAATGTGTAAGACACAGTTCTTACACTCAAGGAATTGGTAAACTAGAAAAGGCTATGGTGGTTTGCTCAGTAATAACCTAGTCTCAGAGTTCTGACTTTTTTTTCAATATTTATTTATTTAGATAGAGAGAGAGAAAGTGCAAGCAGGGGAGAAGCAGAGGTAGAGGGAGATAGAATCCCAAGCAGGCTCCATGCTGCCAGTACAGAGCCTGATGCTGGGCTCAATCTCACCAATAGTGACCTGCACTGAAACCAAGAGTCAGTCGCTCAACCGAAGAGTCAGCCAGGTGCCCCAAGGTTCTGATTTTTTTAAAAAAATGTACTGACTATTCATCTCTCATTGTATGGAATAATATGATGTAATGATTATACAGTAGTCATTATCAGTTATCACTACATTTAATCCTGATTTTGTCAATTGTTAGTTACGTGTTCTTCAGAAGTCATTTAAACTTTTAGATCTCACTTTTTTCACCTTTACTATGAAACACTGACTGGATGAATGGTTGACAAAGTTCTTTCTACCTTTGAAATACCTTTGAGTGATTAATGATATGCTAAAGCTATTTTGGATACTGACAAGCCAACCTCAAATTTGCGGATTCCCAGAGTGGTTCTCTATTATGTCAGCATTTTCTGACCAATCTATCATTGGAGAAACACATTTCCTAAGATAAAACAGGAACTGAAGATGCAAAACAATAAATTATATTTAGCTAGGGAACATGCACTTTACACATTCTTGCTTCCTAAAGACACAGACATCTGAAGGAAACTTACAGGTATATATATATATATATATATATATATATATATATATATATATATATATATATATATATATATATATATATATATATGAGATGATCCTGATTTCAGGAAGCGAACATAGAAGTTAGTATCTTCAAATTTGAAGTAATCAGGAACAGGAGATGAATAATTAAAGTGAAGAGAAATGAATAGCCTTTCCTGTAACTGTACTAGCTGTACTAGAACCCTGTCATTTCAGGCTATGATACAGTCTCAGGGGGAAAACCACTCTTTCAGAAGTGTGTGCTAAATGGAACCCTTTTATTCTGAATTCCGCTAAATGTAGGTTGTATAACGGAAATGAAAAGTTGTTTTCAGTCACTCGACCAAAATCAATATTGAGATGTTACTGTGTGCCTAATATTGTTCTAGGCATTGATATGTTACCGTGTGCATAATATTGTTCTAGGCATTGCGGGGGCAATCTGAGGTGTGATAGACAGGATTCCTGTGGCTATTCTCCCGGGCTCAGTGCAGCAACAGCATCCCCTTACATTGTCAGCATTGATAGAACATTAAAGAAGCAAAGACCACCAACTGGTGGGTACTGGTTATGCTTCATATTGTAGGAAACCAAGGGAAGGAAACAACTAAGGTTGGAACAGCAAGAGACCCAGGTCTGTGCACAAAAACTAAAGTCTGAGAGAGCTTTTCTGTGAGCTGTGATAAGAGAAGTGTGGTCATAAAAATACAGCCATTCAGTTTAAGTCTCTGTTTTCACTGGCTTTCAGAGTTTATGGAATGTCACTATAAAAACAAATTGCTTGATAATTTGATACACATAAAAATGAGTGATATTCTTTTCAGTGTGCTGATGTTACTCGAAACTTTTTGAGAACTCCTCAATTGGAATTGCCTTAGGATCCTGCCACATAATGGAGTATTCTCAAAAATAGTAATTCTTGGGGTGCCTGGGTGGCTCAGTCAGTTAAGCGTCCGACTTCGGCTCAGGTCATGATCTCACAGTCTGTGGGTTCAAGCCCCGCATCAGGCTCTGTGCTGACAGCTCAGAGCCTGGAGCCTGCTTCCAATTCTGTGTCTCCCTCTCTCTCTGCCCCTCCCCTGTTCATGCTCTGTCTCTCTCTGTCGCAAAAATAAATAAAAACATTATAAAAAAATTAAAAAGAAAAAAATAGTAATTCTTTCATTTTGTAGAGTGGACTCAATATGTAAAGGAAGTCCACTGTCAGAGCCAAGTGGTGAATAAGGTTGATTACCTAATTTAATAATATTGCTCTAGTTTCAAATAAAATATGCTTATAAAGAAAGGAATCTTAGCATATCTTTCCTGTATGCATGTATATTTTGATTTTGCTACTTCCTCATTTGTTGGGTTTCATGATTGGCATAAACTTTTCTCTTCTGCCTTAATTAAATGCTATATCTGACTCTTCAGAGTTAGCCTTAGAATCCCTCAAACTCTCTCAGCCCCCATACAAACATTTCTTCCAGTTCCTGGAATCTAATACCTTGAACCATTTAAATTCCTTTCTTCTGATATGATTTATTAAAATGTAACATATTTTATCTGATTATACAAGAAATATATGTTCATTGCATAAAACCCTAAAATTCAGAGAATCATGAAGATGGAAAGAAAACTTATTTGTTATTTTACCATTCAAAGAATGAATATCCATATTTCAGTGTATGATTTTTAAATCTTTTTTTTAAATTTTTTAAAGTTTATTTATTTATTTTGAGGGGGGGAGGGGCAGAGACAGCATCCCAAGCAGGTTCCATGCTGTCTGTGTGCAGAGCTGGGGGTTCAAACTCATGAACCCATGAGATCATAACCTGAGCTGAGATTAAGAGTCAGACGCTTAAGTGACTGAGCCACCCAAAGCACCCCAATCTTTAAATCTTCTATACTTCTCTCTCTCTCTCTCTCTCTCTCTCTCTCTCTCTCTCACACACACACACACACACATACACACAGATTGCCTTTCTTTCTTTCTTTCTTTCTTTCTTTCTTTCTTTCTTTCTTTCTTCCTTTCTCTTGCACTCTGCACTCTTCACTCTTAGAATGTTTTTTCTTACTACACTATGATGTTATTTCCTTTTGAGCACTTTAGTCTGTCCATCTTTTACTGTGAGGTGTAGCCTAATACATTATTCATCAGAATGGGCAATCCAATTGAAGACATTTGGAGTGATTCAACCAGTGTGGCCTCTGACATTGAAAATGAAAGAAGGATAATTCTATTTTGACTTTGGATTATGGTTTAGTTTCTTGCCTGTGGCAGAGAACTCCCAGTAGAATTAAACTCTTTGCCTCAGAAATGGCTGTTTACTAAGTGACTTATAAAATCACATATCATCTGTTCTTTTTCACAATTTATGACTGGGCGGGAACAGTACCTAAATTTCTATCATGATGCTGCTTGCCACCCTGCTTGGGGAGCAGATGGTAAGTATTTACAGTGAATGACCTTTTTTTTTTTTCCTTTAATTTTTATCACTTAGAGTACTTCCCTGCAGCCGTGCCATATGTTGCACACAAAATACAGTGGTTACTGGGTTATTATTCACAACAGAGCTGGAGGGCATAGACATTTCATGAACTACAAGTAGGTATTTGTCTGAATTACTGACTTGACGTTATATTCCACCAAATCCAATACCAGGTTATGACATCATGACCTCATACATACATGGCCAATCTTGACAGATTCTGTTATACTTTTTCTGCTAAAATAAAAAAATAACTCCTGCTTTCATGAAGGAAGCTGTCATAGAAACAGTGCCTTAAGAAAACAGAGTAGTAGGGGCGCCTGGGTGGCGCAGTCGGTTAGGCGTCCGACTTCAGCCAGGTCACGATCTCGCGGTCCGGGAGTTCGAGCCCCGCGTCGGGCTCTGGGCTGATGGCTCAGAGCCTGGAGCCTGTTTCCGATTC